AGACATGTTTGAAAAAAATCTGGTTTGAATCTTAGAAATGAGACGTATCAGACATTTAATCCATTAATATCCAAATATGTTTATTGTTCGCATGTTTAAGGTGTCTCCTATGTATATGGCCATTCTCTAAGTCAGTGCGATTCATGCTTCACATTTCTGCATCATACTTGTGAAGGTTGCAAGTTGCTGCTAATTTGGTGGAGAATTTTTCACCATTTTTTCACGACTGCAGAGAAACCGCATGTAAGTAATCCGGGCGCTACAGCTTTTTGGCAAAACACCTGGAGCTCAGGGGGCAAAACAACCGCATGAGTGCAGCTGTTTGAGAGTCATGATAAACAATTTGTACGTTTGTTTTTCCTCAATAGTTTCATCACATTTACCGTCTAAGGACGGCGCAGCGAGACCTCTCTGCTTATGAGTAAAACATAAAAAGACAAAACAAAAACAGCCCGTTTGTGTTGGTGGAAAAATGCACCATGTCGACCAATCAAAAAATGATATGGCGACATGACATTTGGTTGTTTAGGAAGAGAGAGAGAGCGAGTTTTGAGATGTGAGAGATTTGTGACGTTTAGCGTGTTTGCAGTGTGTAGTTAATGTTGTGTCGTGTGTAGTTAATGTGTAGTGTTGTGGATGGTTTTGTGTTGTGTGTCAGAACAATGAGGCGACTGCTGTCTCCAGGTAGAAACAGGAGTGACACACCTGCTGCTGTCAGACCTGCAGGTATCAGGCTGTGATGTTCTCCTTTATAGTGGACAGAAATATTTGCAGTGGCACAAATAATTTGTGGCATCTTATTGAAGAACAGCTGATTGTTCTGTTGTTTGCAAAACTTGTGCATAGGATTTTAAAATTGATAATTTCTATTTGCATTTAAAGTTATGAAATATGATCATTAAACATGTTTGTAGTTGTTACAGTAAAAAATATAACTTTCTACTCTGATTTTATGCTTTTTGTCTGATTTTAGATCAATTGTGTTAATACAGTCTGTCAAAATGAAAACATGACTATAAATTCAGACACGTGAGGTTGTGCTGAAAAGAATGATACCAAACAAGACAAAGTAACTAAGTACTACTGAGCACGGTAGTTTTTAAAGGTGAAATGTGGAGGGAAAAGTAGTAAAAAATGGCCAATTATACCCTGAACCCCAGAGTAACGCAATAGTTACTTTTCAAGTAATTAATTACTTTTAGAATCTTGTAACTCAGTTACTTTTTTGAAGAAGTAACTAGTAACTATAATTAATTACTTTTTCAAAGTAACTTGCCCAAAGCTGGGCATTACTCTTCACAGGGAATATTCATGAGCATTACCAGAGAGCACTTGAAATGAAATCTCATTATTCCCTTAAAGTAAAAATATGTGAACGTGCTCTTTTCAGAGACCAGTTCATGTATTTTCACAAGTTGGTCTTTAAAGGTTCGGGGGGGTGTAGTGGTGTACCAAAGTCGATGACAAGGTCGAGGAAGCTGTATTATATCACAGGTTTTCACATCATATCATAATCATAACACCACCAGTAGATCAACTTTTGTGTGTAAACTGGAGTAAAGACTCAAGGATACTGACCAGGCAGCTCGATCGTACTCCCCCCAGATTCGAACAAACTCATCTAGGTGGTGGGGACCCAGGATGGACGAGTCTCGGGTGAGATATTCAAAATTATCCATGATTACAGCCACAAACAGATTCAGCATCTGAATGGAGAAAGCACAAGCTACATATACATGTGCCAAATGTGCTGTGGGAAAAATTATGATTATTCTTGTTGCAAATAAACAAAGGGGTGAGCGATCGCCAAGATTCTTTTCTCTTACCAGGAAGGAGCTAAAAAAGATGAATGAAACAAAGTAGAAATAGGCAAAGTCGGAACCACAGCCCCCTTCCGGGTCTGTCGACTCTGATTGGAGCAATGGGTCCGTTTCACACTTCTGTCCTCCCAGACAAGACAACATGATCTCCTGCCACGACTCCCCAGTAGCACTCCTGGATACAAACATTAAACGACACCAGGGGGAG